CTTGTCCTCCTCTTGTCCTCCTCTTGGCCGCGCCCCTGAACTCTGTCGACTCTGTGGCTGGGCTCTGTGGCTGGGCCTTGTCCTCCTCTTGTCCCAGGCCCTGTCCTCTCTTGTCCTCCTCTTGTCCTCTTGGCGCGGCGGGCTCTGTGTCCAGGCCTTGCCCTCCCGTTGTCCTTCTCTTCGCCGCGCCCCTGAACTCTGTCAACTCTGCGGGGCTGCGTGGGCTGTGGGGCTGGGCTCTGTGGCTCGCAGACAGAGACAGAGACAGAGACAGACAGAGACAGAGATAGAGACAGAGACAGAGACAGAGACAGAGACAGAGACAGAGACAGACAGAGAGAGAGAGGGACAGAAAGGAAGCAAGAAAGAAAGAAAGAAAGAAACAAAGAAACAAAGAAAGAAAGAAAGAAACAAAGAAAGAAAGAAAGACAGACAGACAGACAGACAGAAAGACAGAAAGAAAGAAAGAAAGACAGACAGACAGAAAGACAGACAGACAGACAGACAGACAGAAAGAAAGAAAGAAAGACAGTCAGACAGACAGACAGAGAGAAAGAGAGAGAGAGAGGGGGAGAAGGAAAGAGAGCAGGGCGAGCGCGCGCGCTCGTGTGCTATGGACGGCGCGCTCGCGCGCGCTCTAAAATTCGCTCCAGAAAGGCGCGCTCTGCAGAGAGAAAGACAGAGAAAGAGAAACTTACAGAGAAAGAGCGAGAGAAAGAGAGAGAGAAGGAAAGAGAGCAGGGCGAGCGCTTTGAAATACGCTCCAGAAAGGCGCGCTCAGGGCGCGCTCTGCAGAGAGAAAGACAGAGAAAGAGAAACTTAAAGAGAAAGAGAGAGAGAGAGAGAGAACGAAAGAGAGCAGGCGCGCGCGCTCTGAAATACGCTCCAGAAAGGCGCGCTCAGGGCGCGCTCTGCAGAGAGAAAGACAGAGAAAGAGAAACTTCAATAGAAAGAGAGAGAGAGAGAGCAGGGCGAGCGCGCGCGCTCGTGTGCTATGGACGGCGCGCTCGCGCGCGCTCTGAAATACGCTTCAGAAAGGCGCGCTCAGAGCGCGCTTTGCAGAGAGAAAGACAGAGAAAGAGAAGCTTAAAGAAACAGAGAGAGAGAGAGAGAGACAGCGCAGCGAGCGCCCGCGCCCGCGCGTGCTCGTGTGCTATGGACGCGCGCGCGCTCTGAAATATGCTCCAGGAAGGCGTGCTCACAGAGAGAGAGAGAGAGAGACAGAGAGAGAGAGAGAGATAGACAGAAAGAAAGAAAACAAGCAAGCAATCAAGGAAGGAAGAAAGAAAGAAATAAAGAAAGACAGCAGGGCGAGCGCGCGCTTGTGTGCTATGGACGGGCGCGCTCACGCTCCAGAAAGGCGCGGTCAGAGCGCGCTGCGCAAGGAGAAAGACAGAGAAAGAAACACTTAGAGAGAGAGAGAGCAGGGCGAGCGCGCGCGTGCTCGTGTGCTATGGACGGCTTACTGGGCTCTTGTCCTCCTCTTCCTCCTCTTGTCCTTGTTTTGGCCGCGCCCCTGAACTCTGTGGCTGGGCTCTGTGGCCCGGCTCTGTGTCCGGGTCTTGTCCTCCTCTTGTCCTTGTCTTGGCCGCGCCCCTGAACTCTGTGGCTGGTCTCTGTGGCCCGGCTTACTGGAGAGGAGTGTGGCCGAACAAAAAGCGATGTCAATGCCGACAAAAATTCATTGATGAAGCAGTTTGCTCTTGAGGGTGATTTTTGACGTTTTTGGTCTAAACGAATCGTTTTGAAACTGTTTGGGGTCTATGCTTGTATAACTTTTTGCTACTTGTATTAGGTTGGAGATCATCGCTACTAGGTTGGAGGCCATCGCCATTATATATTATACGTATGTTATCCATTATATATGTCCTTTTCTTGTCTCTCTTTTGAAAAGCACGTTTGACTTCTCGGCCCAAGACCTGACCGGTGAAGTAGCAAAACTCCAGCTACTGCAACCCCAACGCTCCGTACTTGGCCAAATCCGTCTTGGAATGCGCTGAGTCCATTGGTCTTCTTCCTCCTTCCAGCTGGCTGACCTCCATGCTCTTTCTGAACTCGTGGAAGTTCTGCTGACGCTGCCCACAAAGCCTCCAAATGTGTGCCACTCAGCTCCCCTCATATTCGATTAAATATATTAAATCACTTTCTCCTTGTACGAGGGGAGCCATTCCGGTGTCCCTTCATATCGCGGGATTTTCTTCTCCATCCCACCTCAGCCGGTCGACAGTGGAGTACGCCCTGAACCTTCCAACGGTTGTTGAACGCCATTGTATTCAGCCTTTGCTATCCAAGGACAAACAACCAGGCTCAAATGCTACCGTGCGAAATGGCGCACGACCTCTTTTCAATCAACCCTAGGGCCCTAGGGACGATTCGTTATGGACATGTCGCGGAACAAAAGCAAAAAACATGCCAACTTTGCACACCATATATATATATACATATGGTACCCCCGCCAAAACCAACACTTGTTAAAAAGGGGAGGTTGAATGTACCAACAAATCTGAATCTGCAATGTGACATGTGCATGTGGCATGTGATCAAAATGCTAAATGAACATCCTCCTACATCTGATCAAATATATAGTTAGTATAAACTATATTTTTTGATCCTGCCAAGGAATTTGCAATTTTTGGTCTACTCGACCTTGCAAATTACCTGGCAGGCTCAAACAATTCAAAAATGTTAAGAGCCCATAGTCACAAAACCCTGACAGGCTCAAACTAGTCAGACCCTGACAGGCTCAAACTAGTCACATATGGATCTATGGGGGCTTTGTGGAGTGTTCCAATGTTTGATAATTTTGAGAGGAATTTGCAAGGTGGTGTAGACAACAAATTGCAAATTCCTTGATAGGCTCAAGCAATTAAACACAAAAAATTGCAAATTCCTTGGCAGGATCAAAAAATATAGTTTATACTAACTATATATTTGATCAGATGTAGGAGGATGTTCATTTAGCATTTTGATCAGATGCCACATGCACATGTCACACTGCAGATTCAGATTTGTTGGTACCCCCCACCTTCCTTTTTTTAAAAAGTGTTGGCTTTGGTCTAGAACAAATCCGCTTTCAATACATCTGCTTTATCATCAAGGACAACTCTCACATACAAGCAAGATTTTTTTTTCTGAAACTTTTTTTTGCTTTTTTTTTTGGGGGGAGCATATATATATATATATATATCTACATATACACATACTCACTTATCCTTAACCTATATATAGTCCATTTATATATTTATATAGTTATTTATTTATTTTTTTAAATGTATGTTATTGTTTTTGATTGATTGATTTTGTAAAACAGTAATACTTCAAAGATAGACCGGCACCTTTCTTTTCACCCTACACCGGTGAGGCGGCCACGGTTCAACTGTTGTCCTTCAGGAACAACAGCATGAAGTGAAGCCGAAGGCCAACCTAGAGCATCAGGCTTGGGCCAAGACTGTAAGCAGTTTCATGGTTTTCATAATGGCAAACTTAATCTTTGAGGGACGGAATCAAAAGAGAAAAGATCCTGAGCTGTCCCAATCGTTTCGAACCAATGACGTCCTCATGACTTCCTTTTGTGGCAACACGGAGGCCTCGGAGCCTTGGGCCGTTGGCATGGCCGCAGCTTCGGCGGCTTTGGCTGCTGGTGCTCCTTGTGCTGCCAGCGCCAAGAGAGGTGTCGAGGCAGCGCTGGCTGTGGGCCGTCAACAAGGCACCTGATGGTCCTGACGTCCACAGAATGGTCAGCACATTGTCAGTACGTAACTGGCTCATGAAGTGTTGCAGGTATGCCTGCTGAGAGGCCTTTTGCTCTTGTTTGAGAATGGCTCAGAAGGATGTGAAGGAACATGAGGAATTAACGGCCCGTTTGGATGTTGGAACTCACCACAACTTCCTACGAATCGGAATCAGAATATATTCTCGGTACATAAACACTTTTTTCACTCCTTTCCACTCTGATTCCTTCAATGCATTGAACCTTTCGTTGGAGGTTGGAGGAGCTTGTCATGGAGCTGGCAGCCAAGGTTGTCATTGATGATCTCTTGATGTCTTCAAAACCGGCAGAAGCAGTTGCAGCAGAAGCAGCCAAGGCTCGATAGCAAGAGTGTCGCAACAAGATCTCTTAAATGGTCCTCTATTGACACTGACTCTAGACTCTAGAGTGTTTCTTTTCCTCTAGTGCTTCCGCGCTGGGGAAAACGAGAGAACAATGATTGCTGGCGAGCAAGTTCCGCATGCTGCTATCAACGCATTTTCTGCCTCAGGCATCAGATGAAGCAGGCGCTGCTGCAGGCGCCTGCATTCGGTTTGCGCTATGCGAAAGAGAAGTGATGTAATTTCATCTCGTCGTTCAGGTTTGTTTGATCGCCTGGCCATGCGCCATTCGGCACAGGTGCTCCCATGTGGAAACGCGCAATGAAAGCAGCAGAAGCTGCCTCGAACGGCGTCATGCAAGCCTGGGCTCAAAATCCCGATGCATTGACTGAAGAGGTGGTGAATGTTGTCACGAAGGCATCCGTCGAGCTGTCTTGAGGTGTCGGTGCTCGAGGACTCAAGAAGTAAAGCATGCGAAAGATGCACCAGAAAATGAACGATTTGACAGCACAACTCACCTAAAACAGCAAAAGAACACACACACACACACTGGAACAAGACCACAGATGTGCAGCGTTGAAATTCTTGTGAAGGCTACATCCAATGCTTCGGGAACACAGCTACAAGATCTTCTCTCCAGGATCGAAAGTGGCGTTGCAGCAGCTCGACGTCGACTTGATCGAGAAAGTGGAGCAGCTGGAGACCGAGAAGTGAGTGCTGTCCGAGTTGATCCGGGTCCGGAGGCGAGTTCTTTTAGGTTTTGTGAAAGAGGGAAATGAAACTTGGTACCGTATAGCCAGGTGAGGATCAAAACAGACCAGAAAGGCTTTGCAAAAGCAGCTGCACAAGGATCACAAGGAGTAGACTTTACTTCGCTCGATTCACCAATCCAAGCAGAAAGTAAGGCAGGTTGCATTGACACGCGCAGCGTTGCGCTTCAGCTTTTGCTCTTGACTTGCAGCTCCTATACAGTCTTCGATCTCATCAAGTTGGATCGTATTTGAATGTATTCTTGACATCCACATGGCAAAATTGATCGCGTGATTCACACTTGCTTGGCAAGTGAATGTGGTTCGCTTTGTTTGGCCGGTTTGAGCAGCCTAGGTTGCGGATTTCCATTGTAAACAAGTGTGCCCGCTCTTCAGCAGAACCTCACATGGTTTTCACACGCCATCTCTTCGTTGGATTTCGGCTTTGCTGCAGGTCACTGAGGATGCCACCTCAGAAGAAAGCATAAGCAGCGACGACGACGACGATGCACAGCCGAAGGAGAAGTCCAAGGCAAAACCTAAAGCAAAGCCGGAGGCAAAGCTTCAGGCAAGACCTGAGGCCTTGGCGGCCCCTACCTTGGCTGCGGCTTCTTGGTTCCAAAGAATCTGGGTGGAAGAAGAGATGGAAGAAGCAACACATTGAGCAAGACATTCCACTCTTTTAGAAACACTTGATGTACCTTCATTATTTGTCTAGTAGCAAGTGCATTACTACTAGTAGCGAGAAGCTAGTAGTAACAAGTGCATCGCTACTAGTAGCGTCCTTGCCACTAGTATTAATGCCCTTAGTTGCTGTCGCAAATTCTATGTCCGTCGTCTCAGGACTCTTCGCGACTGCGGACCTCGCCACTCAGCGACCGCGACGACCGCCACCACGAGCGCATTGAACAACTCCAGCGGGGCCCCCGCGCGGTCGACGCGTCGCGCGGCTCTGATGAGCCCGATCTCATGTGGCCGAGGACGGGAAGACCAAAGTGACTTGACTTAGCTTTACATGTCAAAACTATGCAAAAAACATCAAAAAACAATATTTTTCATTACTGTATTTTTCATGTCTTTTTCCTCATTGTGAGATGCTTGTTCGGCAAGGTGTCTGTTTGGGAGTTGGTTCGTTTGAAGGCCATAGCATGGCCAAGAGACAGCTGGATGATATTTCATAGTTGTTGGACTGGTAAGGGGGGTTGGTAGTAGCATCTCGCAGCTTCACTGAATATCGCTTCTATGTACGGAGGGACTGATAATGTGTTGGTGCTTCAGCGCAATGTTTGATCCTTTTTTTTGTGAACCAAGGAGTTTGGCACGTGCTGCGGACCAAGATATCAAGCTGACGGAAGCAACGAGTGAAGAGACCATTGCTGTGCCCTCTTCGCCTGTGAGAGAATCTCCATATGAACCTGCTTGGAAAAGGAAGGATCTCCACAAAGAGCTAGAGGAGATTAGTGAGATTGAAGCGCATGCGATTGCCATCAGGCAAAGCCTTCAGGATTTGAAGGACGAATACGAAGGAGCTGATGTGGATGCTGAGGCTGCAGCACTGATGCTGGAACTGAAAGGCAGGCATGTTTCCGAGATTTAAGTGTCCTTATAGTATGGTAGCACAATATAGCACATGAAGATGGCAAGACCAAGAGGCTTTTGGCAAGCAAGTTTATCCAGGTTCTTCCGCTGCCTCTTCAGGGCCCAAAGAACGAGCTTCTGCAAGGTGAGGAGAGTTGAAGTCTTTTTGAGGGAGAATTCATGGGCGGTTTTTTGTATTTGTGAGAACCTTCCGGCCAACAAGCAATGTGATTTGCCTGTGAAGGCTTGTCAACATCCAACACGGTGTGAACACATGTGAACATCAGCTTCGACGCTAGAACATAAAGAAAGGCGCGACGCGTTTCTTCGGTCGTGGAGGCACAGCTCCAGTCTTGGAGACCACGAGGCCATTGCCCTGTTGGCCAAAGACTCAGAACGAGTCAGCTCAGTGCATTGAATGGTTCACCGGCTGTGCGACGTTGCCATTGCCCTCCTACTACTTAGCGTCCGAACGCTACTAGTAGCGATGCCCTTTGTTCCTAGTAGCGTCCTGTGTTCTTAGTAGTGGCAGGAGCTACTAGTAGCTTCTTGTTACTTCTACTTCATAAAGTAAGGGCTGATTAGATCTGATTAGCCACTGCATATGGACACGGAATAGCTCACGCTTCTTCAAGGAAGCTGCCCCCCCGCGAAAGGCGAGGGGAGCTTCCTTGAAGAAGCGCTCGCACTAATGATTTGGTTCCTAGATTTTTAGGAAAACTTAAGTTTGAAAAGAGTTCAAGCTCAGAGGCTGAGCTTCATGGTGGTCGCTTGCCAGAGTGGCTCACCAACAAGGACTGCTTGCCAGGGAAATCCAGGGAACTAGGTATCATCCCATGATATCTTGTCACCTGTAAAACGACATCTCGTGCATCATGTTACTAATGTTACTATGTACAACATTCTGCAGGGATTGCAAAACATTTACTGGCTATGGTTCCAGGCTCATATGTTCGGTTCTGTGAGGAAACAGACTCTGGTGGTAGCTCAGTCCAAGCCCAAGTCTGTCGGGAGCTTTGCAGTGTCCCCGACTGGATTGCTTTGTGCCCGAGGGAAAGGACCCGAAGAATCCTGCTGAAAGGCCTGGCTTCTCCAGCTGTTTTGATATTTGCATTTGACTTCTAAATGCCTGATTAAAAGTAAAGCAACTAGCAGATTTGAGATGCGGAGAATGTGTTGCAGAGTTCTTTGTGGCAGTGCTGATTGCACCGAGCTGTGCAGGCCATGGCACTTGGAGGTCATGAAGATGAGACAGACGCTAAGTGACTTGGCCAAGGAGAGAATCCCAGCGGGAAAGCAACTCACAAAACACAATACGGCTGTGGGTCAAAACTGGGGAACGCGGAATGATCACCGAGCATGAACAGAATAGATTACCAGCCAGGACTTACCTACCAGGGTTTGGAGCTCCAGGTTTTGACCCACGGCCACATATAATACTGTATATATATATATATTACTTTAAAGATATTTTTATTCACCAAACGGTTTACTGTTTGGGGTTCTCTCTTAGGAAAAAAGCTGGCCACACTGGCTGGTGTGCCCATAAACTCTGTGTCCGGGTCTTGTCCTCCTCTTGTCCTGCTGTTGTCCTCTGGCCGGCCAAAGCGTGTTTCATCCTTTTTTCCTGCTGTTGTCCTCTTGCCACGCTGGCCAACCCTGTGTCCTCTTGTATTCCTGCTGTCCTCTGGCCGTGGTTGCGAGCTTTCGTGTTGCTGTCCTCGTGCTTGCGTCCTCCTCCTGTCCGGTCCTTGTCTGGGTCTGTGTGTCCTGCTTGGCCGCGCGATGGGCCGGGTGTCATGGGGTCTCTTCGCCTCGTGAGGGTTTTGTCCAGGCCTTGTCCGCGTCTGTCCTGCTTGTCGACGTTGTTGACCCTTCATCACCGCTTTGTCCTGGCCTTATCCCCTGCTTGGCAACGCCTTTTTCCCTTTCTCCACCGTTTTATATACTTATCCCTTCGTACATACACATGTGACAACCTCAGAAATCAGGAACCATTGTTTTCTGACAGTTTTCTTGCTTACATGCCATTCCCAAAACAGACGTTGCCTCAGACATTGGAACTCAAAGAGTTGACTCCAAACAAACAATGCTGCATTTGTTTGGGGTCGATGCTGACATAATTTCAATTATATATATTATATATAGCATATTATTTCAACATGTATGTAAACTCCTGATGTTCTCTTTTTGAAGCAGGACGCTTGAAGACGTTGTGCCGCGGCCGCAATACCCATTCCACATGCTCAAAGACCAAATACTTTGGCACAAAAGAACGCAACCATAATTATTAGTTACTAGTAACAAGGGTATCGCTACTAGTAACAAGGGCATCACTGCTAGTAGCTAGAAGCTACTCGTAACAACACCTGGGCCCTGGGTGCATTGAAGTTGCCAATGAAAGCATGACAGGACTGAGACCGTTCAGAGATGAGATGACAAATTCCAAGGTTTCTTGCTTTCATGGCCTTGAAGACGCAGGAACCGCAATGAAGTGACTTGGACAGCACACGGCAACAAGATCAACTACACAGGCCACAGAAAGGATAGCAACAGACACAGGCCTCCTCAGACTCGCGAAATGATCAGACACGGATGGCCTTCGAAGAGTAAGATCATGAAGTTATGCGAATCACCGAAGACTGCGGGTAATACATAATTGGCAGCCGAATCTGAGGCATGAGGCAAAGTATGAAAGTATGGGCACACATATGCGTGCTGGAAGTCCGTGTTTCTGATGGTGAACTCCAAGAGAAGTTTGAGCATTCAGGACTCCACAATTTTCCATTGTCGAAGGAGATGTTTGAGTCATAAGTCATGAGTAATGAGCCTGTTGCAACCCGCAGGAGTTGACGAGTAGTGAACGCCAAATCAAGGCTGAAGATAGATACTGTACTCCAGCTACAGCACGAGCCCTTTCAGTGTGGATGGGATCTTGGAAAGAAATACTATGGTCCAATGGTGCTACACCATGAGGAGAGCCTGTTGCGAAGGATACAGCGATACCAGTTGCACAATCAGATGTGAAAGCGGACGCTTTTGCAGGAGCAGGTGAGGCTGCAACAAAGGAAGCAGTTGCACCTGATGTTCCAACAGCAACAGCCGAAGCACCAGGAGAGCCTGCCGTGAAGGATACAGCCACGCCAGAATCACAACCCGAAACGGCGGACGATATAGCAGGAGGAGCAGGTGAGGCTGCAACAAAGGAAGCGATTGCACCAGATGTTGCCATCGCAAGGCAAACAGCATCAGGGGAGCTTGCTTCGAAGGACACATGCACACCAGATGCTCTTGGAGTGAACTGCAGACGTAGGTGCGACGAGGCCCTCTTGTGGGTTTTGGTGTTGAACATCCTCCCATCCATTGCCCTACGGACACGAGGCCTACCGCTCCAGCCTCGCGGCCTCGCGTTTCCTTTTTGCGCCATCCAAGCCAACAAAAGTATTAAGAGCCAAGCACAGACTTCAATATCTGAAGTGTTTATGTTGATTTTCCAAGGAATTTACTCCACCCTGAAGGGTCTTTGGCAGTACTGCTTCTTTGGGACTCTTGATGACTGTAGAAGTACCTCAACTGATGCGACATTTCATCGCAACTCCAATGCAACATCAACGTACTCCGCGGTTCAACACTGGGAGTCACGGCAACGGCCAGATCGTGACATCGTGGGCAGGTCTTGCCTGAACAGATCTGGACATCTCTGAAGAGTCCAGACAAGAGGAGGACTTGCACTCAGCCAATTGTACTGTGGAGCATAGGTGGTTTCGAGGAACTTTTCTAGGGTTTGTGTGGTTATTTGCCGGGAACAGGATCGTGTGGCGACGTAGAGAGAGAGGTTTGAAACACTGTTGGGGAGGAAATGAAACATGGCTGGAACCAGAAGTGCTTTATGGTAGAAACTGTCTAGTATCTATACTGTATCTATATATAACCAGCTGGGATCACTATTTTGCACACCCGAGGGTGTTTCAGAGCTTCACCTAGAATGTGAGGTTTCAGGAATTGGGCCAGGGGAAGTTCTCCTTCAGCAATCAAAAGAGGTTCCGAGCATGTAGGAACTGGCACAGCTACATCTCAAGCATAGCGGAATAGAGCTTGAGAGAGTATTCATGTCGCTCCGCGATGAACCCGCACCAAGATAGTATCAGAATCGATTTATTGAATGACTGTTGACCCCAACACGCCACATGTTTGGCCGCGATTTAACACCTTTCTGGACCATGTTCCCTCCATGTTGAACTTGGGCCCAAGTTGGGCCCCTAACGGCCAAGCGGCCCGAAGTTGAGGGCCACTTGGCGACAACTTGGGCCCACCGGGCAATGATCATACTCCCCTGCAAGCCCGTGCTGCAAGGTACTTCGACCCCCAGCGCTCTATCATCCTCCCCCAAAACTCCTTCCGCACGACATCCACAGCATTTCCTGGTTCCCTGATCCTTTGGAAAAACAACCAGAACCCAAACATCAGAGATTCAGATACTTTTGGGAGAAAGGCCCCCACTCCGCTAGCCAAGCTAACTAAGCAGCTACGTGCTGTCGGGCAGTGAGTACGACAAAGTTACCACGCCCTTGCATTTGAAAGACGGCACATCAGGCTAATAATGTGAAAAACTCAGCAATCGGACTTGGTAGTCGAAGCAAGGAAGGAACATAGGGCCTAGGGTCGAGGAGCTCTTCTGGCGAGGAACGTTTGTGTCGTTGCAATCAAGGGGTTTACAAGGTCCTTGTCTCGGGAATTGGTGTGGGGTGTCAAATGTGCAGATGCCAACCCAGGCCGGCCAGCGGAGATTTGCTCTGCGCTCCTAGCAATGAGGTGCAGCGCGCAAAAATCTCTGCACGAGGGCGGGAGTGGAGAGGTGTTCCGTACTTTCAACCATGTTCAACAGAATTTGATGATTGGGCCAGCCGCAGCTTGGTCGATTTCTTGTTCTTATATTTCTCTGCTGCCGTTTCTCCTTAATAGGAACTGGCATTGGCGTTGGTCAGTGCTAGTCATGGCTTCCTCATCCCACGGTGAGCTTGGCGCCTTGAAGTCCACCAAAAAGCAGAAGAAAACAAAGAAGAAAACAAGAACTCAGAGCAAAGCGCGCAGCTCAGAGAGCGCCGAGATTGAAGCTTTGGAAGGCAACACCGAAGACCAGAGGGTGGGACTGATAGAAAACGATGAAAGCGAGCTCTTCACCAACCTTTGTCAAGGCGCGGCAGCATCAAATGACGCTTGTCAATATGCCGAATGCGCCGATGCCAATGCCAAAGAGAATCTTGGCACAGAGCCGAACCATGGATGTTGCAGCTGCTTTTGGGACTGCTTGCCCACGTGGCTGACGAAACCAAATTTTTACTACACAAAGAACGATGACTTAGACGATTTCGGGGTTCTGAAGGAGATTCCCAAAAAGAGGCTTTTGAAAATATGGGAGATCTTCAGCGCCATTGACACCGACATGGACGGACAGATTGATATTGCTGAGGTCAGACGTTTCTTTTATCACTTAGGGGCAGCTTCGAGAGATGATCGTTGCAGGGTCAGGATAGCAGCTGAGTTCGATCATCCAAAAGGTCTTCCGCTGGTCAAAGGTAAAGACTTCTTGGATGCGCTAGCCGAAGAACCTTTGGAGACTCTCAAAGTTTCTGGTTGGATTCGCTCTTTTGGGTCATCATTTCTATCGCAGATTTCCTCGGGGGAAGCCAGTGGGTCAGAAGACGCTGGATCGACTGGATCGGTGCAACCAATTTCAAACACCAAAGATATCGATGATGAACCAGACCGAAGGTCTTTGACGGGCTTTTGGCAATTTGCAGCAAGTCCTTTGTGCCAACCCACAGATTCCGAAGACTCCATTGACCTGGTGAATGAATTTCGCGCGGTAGCTTCACAGCAGCGCTGGGGCCGCTTTCGTTCTTGGAAATTTGCAAAAGCCATCGAGCGCTTTCGACAATACAATGCAGCTTGTCAAACGAAAAGGGTGTCTACGAAAGAACGCGTAGCGCTAGCTAGGTGGAATTTCCTTTGCTGTATACCTGGTCCGGTCCGGTCGTGGAGTCAGTTTCGTCACTTTCCTCATTCCTGCAAACCATAGTACTGTATTCTTTTGTCCACAGCTCGACGAGCCATACAGTCTGTCTCACGCCACTCCTTGTCCTTCTTTTTGTGCATTTCCACTCCTCTTTCATAGTCCTCTCTTTTATCACTGTCTCTTCAATGAGACTCAAGCTCACTTTCACCCTTAACGTCATCTTCGTTATCTCTTGCTTCAACTGCAACTCTTTCACTTCTTCGATCTCCTTCTCTTATTGGCTCATCTTGTTTGTTGATCCATGAGGTCATCATCGTCCGCACACTCGCAACGCTGTTTCTATCAATATCTTGACCTCATGTTCCGTTTGCCATCACTTTGCGCAACACTGCATATCTCCTTTAAGTTTGCTTTTTCTCAACAATCGACCCACTGTTCGTTGCTTGAACTAGTTCTTCACAAAATTCCGGTTCCCTGATGGAAAGAAGCCAGGAATTTGTGAACATGTTCAAGAATGTAATGGACTTGAATGTTGCCTCAACCTAGTATTTGGCAAACTTCATAGTTCTTAGTGATGCTCCAGGGTTGGTTGTGCAAACAGCGCCTTGTTTTATCTAAACGATGACCCTCAATGGTGTCGCAAACTGCAAGCTCTTCCCTTTAAGATGTTGCGATGTTTTGAGTGTTGCAACCACCAAGGAACGTTCCAGGATGGAGAGAATCCTTGGGTTGAACCTTTCTCGTCCTGACCTCATCACTATTGCCTTGAACTTCTTCTCTGCTTTCTCATCGGTGCTGGATGTCTACACCGACGCAGTGCTTCTCGCAGCCATTTTCCGAAAATCCAGAGGTTGTCTAGATTTAGAACTTGTCAGTGAGGGGTGTCTTCAACACAGCTACACCAAGCTTGGAATCATGCTTGCGCTCTCAATAGTGGCTCCATTCGTCATTTCCTACAGCCACATCATTGCAAATCTGCAGCTTGCCTGCTTGCAGTTTTGAAACGAAAGCCATTTTGTTCGCAGTGTCAGTAGAAAGCAGAGCAGAACCGGCTCGCTGAATTAACTTGTCTTGTCGGCCAGCCAATCCACGTGAGGCAAGAGAATGGCTTTTTTGCGAATGGTCGCAACGCTTGCTTGGGCTTCCTTTTGGCCGGTTGGTTTGGGCCTATTTACCTTGCGATTCTGGAGTTACCACTGCTAAGTCGAGATATTCTTTGGGCTCCAATTACCTGTTTGCTCGCCAAAGGTACCAGGGACAAAGGTGAAATGGTATGGTCCCAGATTTTTCACAGCCTTGGCATTGTTGATGGTACGGGCTACCGAAAGCAACGGGCGATGGCTCAGCTCCTGTTTGAGACCATCCCACAGCTTCTGATTCAGTTCATGGTTGTTGAGGGGATGATCCAAGCTCAAGATTTGGTGGAATCTGACCGAGAGACGATTGCTCGATCCCTGGTCTTGGCAGCCTTGAGCCTCGGCCTAGTCAGTAGTCTTTTTGCTTCGCCTCAAGATTCAATCAAACAAACAACAATTCGTCAAGTTTCCCACACAATTACTTATAGGACAAGCACGGAACATCTATTGGAGGTGTAAAAAGATAGTTGCTGCTCTTGGATGTTTGTGTGAGGAACCTATTTTGCCAACTTGTTCGGACTTGGTTTGAGTGCAGAGTTCTTCAAGAGCCCTTTCTGCGTTACACCATCATCAATCTTTTGGCCTGTTCAGATTGGGTTCCATTTCTGGAGCAATTCTCAGATTCGACCGCCACAAAGCGGGCTCGTCGTACGATCAACTATTCCGAGCTGAGCGGTCAGCTTCCGGGTCATCGCTGGACGGGACTTCGCTTGCCGATTTCTTTCCGCTTTTTGTAGGAAAATTCAGAAGTTGTCTGACTTGTATGTTTGAAATGATGTTCAGCTATTTGATGCGACATTTGTTTTGCTGTTGCTACTGATTTTCTTTGAGTGATTCTCAATCCCTTTCGTGCGAAGGGTGGGTGTAATCTAAAGGGGCAGGGCCCCGGTAGGGCACAGTAGCGTCCTTGCTCCTAGTAGCGATGCCCTTTGCTCCTAGTAGCGTCCTCTACCAGAAAACCCATTGTGATGCTTTTGTGCCAAACCGGCGCAGAGGTTTCAGCTCCACATCGGTGCAGAGTTTGATCTCTGTGCTCTGCCGACAGACCGAAGAGGATGGGCATTCAGCTGTGTGGAAGAGGCTCAGAAATCAGAAGTACGGAGACTCCAAGAGATTCAGGTGCCTCTTTGGGCTTGAGCAGCTTTGAGATTCAAGCACGGATTGACAAAACAGATTGTAACAATTTGTTCAAAGGTCTCATAGCAGCTTTGGAGTTAAAACTCTTGGTCTAATTTATTTCATAGATGTGCTTGAGCAGGTTGCAGAAGATCATTCGCGCCAACCACGCGCAGCTTCTAGGGGAGCCTCAAGTCTTTTCTTTTGCGGAAGACTTGGAGTGCGACTTGCTGCAGGTGGAAAAGGGATCCTATTATTTCTACAAGAAGCACACTTTTACAGGGACTCCTTGTGAATCTGATGAAATTGACCCAAAGGAATGCTTGATTCATCATGATGGGATTGACGTCTTCTTGGCAAAGACATCTGTCAAACTTGGGCCCTTTGGAGATGGAGGTTCGAGCTCTTCACGCTTCAAGTTTGTCCTGGGGAGTTCCTGTGAACGCCTGTGCTTGCAAGAGATAGTTCAATTGATTTTGGCCTGTTGGGGTCGCGTCTCTATTGACTTTTCTGGTGTTGACTGGCGCTCGGTGCTGAAAACATCCCGCTCGTTGGGTCTGCTCTTGGACACACATGATCAAGGTGACCCCCAATGGCAAGCATCTATGCCAGATGGTGAACCTGTGCTTTCAAAATGCCTTCTCTTGGGGCAGCCGCATGCAGTTGGGGATCCAGAGCAGGAAAAATTTGATCTCCACAACTTGGCAAAAGACTTGTTGTTTTTGAATGCGAATCCAAATGTGAAAGATACGATGGGGCAATCTTTGCTGCTGTCATGTGTGGCGAAAAAGAAGGCACGAGCAGTGCAGCTCCTTCTTAGTCATGATGTGGACGTGTCCAAAGACGTCCTTCAAAAGGCGGTTCAAAACAGCACAGTGGATGTTGTACAGTGCTTATTGATGTCGGACAAATGCTTGCAGATCCAGTTTGATGGCAAAGACAAGTCCCTATGTGGTCTTGCCTGCTCCAGATTGAAGGATGCTTGTGTGAGTATTGAGAAGGCTCTCGGTGGGGAGCCAGCACTTCAGATTGGAGCTTTATTCGAAGCTGTCGACATTTTGAAGATTCTGTGCCTCAGTTGTGCAGTAGTCATGCAAGCATGCGGGCGCGTTTGCTTGTGTTTTGTGTGTTTTAGTTTCTTTGTTCATGTGTTTTGTACTGTTTTGTTTGTTTGTTTTTGTTCATTTATGGCATGCTCCTTTTTTTGTATGTGTCCCTTTCTTTCTTTCTTTCTTTCTTTGCTTCCTTGCTTGCTTGCTTGCTTGCTTGTTTGTTAAGCCTTTCATCGAAGACCTGGGTATAGTTCGTCTTTTCTTCTTCGAAATAGTTTGAAGTGCTCAAAGCCTAGTTTGTTGTTTGCTGGGAGCAGCAAGGTCTGGCAAGAATATAGCGCTGCCCGTGGCAGAGGTAGGGTTGGCATTGGAGTGCGAAGCTGCTTTGTGCCTTTGCCAGTTCCATGAAGGTCACCATCCCTTGCTGAAGGATGCTGTAGAGCAGGCTTTGATGCACAGCATAGTTGTAAATTCTGAGAACCTGTTGAACAAAGTCACACAAGAAGGGGACACCATGTTTCACTTGCTGGGAAAGAAGGCTCCATTACGACATGGTGGGCTTTGGAAAAGAATGAATCTCTGGCTGGAGAAGTATCCAGAACATGACCTAACACAATATGTTCGCTTGAAGAACAAAGCTGGATTGCTGGCTTTGGAAGTGGCTCTTGAATCTTCAGCCAATGATGGAATTGACCATGAGGACTCAAACATTCTGAGTTGGCTGTTTGAGCAAACGAGGCATCAAGCACCTTCAGAGCAAGAAGGCCTCCTTCAACGGTGTGTTGATACTTTGTGCAAGCGTGCCAAGAGCCATTCGCTCAACAAGGAACAAATATCTCGCGGCATCTCTTTTGTGTTAGGTTGCCTCTACAAAAGTGACGCGGAGTTCAGCAAGTCTTGCTTTACCGAGGCAGCTAAGAAACTAGAGGAAGAGAAGAGCTACAGGGCCTGTGAACATTTGGTTAGAGGAGCGGCAAGTCTTCCATTTTCAGAAGACCTTGCACCGAAATGCTTGCGCGAACAAGGGTGGGGTGCTCCGAAGAAGGAAGAAAAACAGGGCGAGGCACCAAAGGAGCATTCAGCTCATCAATTTGACGATGCCGAGTCTGCCCGTGTCATTGGCAAGAAACAGATTGTGCAGAGTAGCCACAGATACGTCCGACAAGCCTTGGATGCAAAATTTGGGGAAGGCGAAGACAGTTCAAATGATATGTCAGGGATGAAAATGATTCTTCAAGGCCTGGTCATTGTCCTTGAGATTCTCTCTGCAGCAGATCTGTTCACAGATGTTCTTCTCGTTCGATGGATGTACTTGAGCCACCACATTTGGTGGGCTACGTTGTCTTGCTTGATGATGGTGGCTCCATATCTGGCGGCCTTTTCTGCCACACTGCGCATCGGCTTGCGAAATCGCATATTTGAAGCCACAGACTCCAACGGGAAAATGCAAAAGCTCTACAGGCTTCGCAGGCTTGCTGGGGCCGTGTGCATGACACCCCTTTGCGTTGTGGCGTTCATTCTGTTGGACTTGGTTTACACCATCAAAGCTGCCACCTTTGATGTTTTTGCCCTTGTGGTTGGTCTCATCGCGCCTAAGATGAAACTGGACGTGACAGACGGTGCTGTGAGCAAGTTTCTCTCAGATCATTTAGGCTTAACAACCATGGATATTGAGGGCTACCGCCGCCTGCGTACTACCACTCAGCTACTCTTTGAGTCATTCCCGCAAATCGTTTTGCAGCTATACATTCTGCTGAAGTCTTCATCTGAACGAGAAGTGGAAGTTTCTGATGAAGAGCTAATTGTATCACTAGCATTCGCTCTATTCCACCTTTTTGCAACCTGCTGCATAGTTTGGTTGGAGGCCCGCGCTGCCAGAGAACCAGTTGCACGCTATACTATGACATGTTTAACTGGTCGGTTGGGTTGGCTCCCATTTGCAGACACTGCAAACCTAAGCCTGGACGAGGGTAAGGCGTCCCAGCAGATGCACTTTGATGATTTATCTTTCTTATCAGCATGTGGTCGCTTCACTATGGCCTTTGAATTCAGCCAAAGCACATGGACGAAATTGCTTGGGGCTTTGTCAAAGGTTCAAGACAAAACCAGCAACATTCATGTGGCATTCGGGCCTTCAATCTCTCTCATGAACATCCATGACATTTTGAATTTCCAGAAGAGGTTTTCGAAAGTGAAGACGTCCATGCAAAGTGGAAAGGAACCTGTACCATGGACAAAGGTCTTGCGCAATTCTGGGTTCAGCCTCCAATCAGGCAAGGTTTGCATTAGTGACCGGGAGCAGGCAGAGACTCGAAAGTTGTTGGAGGACTTTATGTCGAACCATAACCATGAGGCCGTTCGTGCCCTTTTGGAGGCCGGAGTTAGTATTGCAGGATTGACATCCCGCGGCCTCCTGTATCTGACTTTGGCTGTTGAGTTGAAGCTTGGCCTTGGCTTGTGGAGCAAGGCAGTTCATTTCTTTCAGTTGTGCTGGGCAAGAAGCGAAGTGGGAACAAACAAAGTAGACAAAGAGGGAAGAAAGGAATATGTAACTATATAGTAATATATATATATGTATAGAGCAACAAGACTTTTCAGCTAAGGAGAAGTGCTAAGATTTGCGAGCTCTTTTTGAATTTCAATGCTCCTTTGACTTCGGCAGATTTGCCAGTTGAGATCAAAGACCCCTTGATAGAGGGTGGTTTCCGTGTGCGAAGCACCCTGGAGACACCATTGGAAGCTGCATTTAGAGTGTTGGATCCGGACATCATTTCAGTCTTTCTGTTCCATGAGCGAATTCAAGCCACCTCTTCAATGAGACAGAGAGCTCTTCAATTGGCAGAGGAGGCCCGAAGAGCAAATCGTGCGGAAGACGCCAAGAAGTATGCACACGCATCAGGTCTTGCTCCCAGCTGGGATCAAGCTTCTTGGCTTGTTTGATTTGTTGTCATTTGTAGCATGTGTTCAGCGCTTGCGGCGCTTGCAAGGGATTATATATATATATACATATATATACACATACACCGTGTACCCATCTTTTCAATCGATTGACAAGGTCACCTCCACCAAAGTGCGGCTTCTGCTGGGGGGCGAACCCATCGGGTCCACCATTGAATGCAACGTAGCGGAATTGCAGTGCTTCGACTTGTTCCGCGAAAAGCTCTTTCCAGTGAGAGATCATGAGACGAAGGAGGAGGCTTTGAAGAAGATATTCAATACAGCCGTGGATGGTTTCCTTGAGGTAGATTTGACATTTGTCAAGCGGATGTTTCCAAAATCAGTGCCTTGTCAGAACAATGGCAGTTATATAACCTTTACGATTTTCCTTTCCAGAAGCTTCATGGATTGGTGACATGGAGTGATCGAGTTCAAAACTGTTCTTGTGAAAATGGGGCCTTTGAGAATCAAACTATCGACCTTCAGACAGGATCTTTCGCCAGTGCATCTTCAACACTTGCTGGCTGTGATTCGTGAGCCGACCCTCCCTGAAAATGTTTCTCTGGGCATCTTGGATGGCTTGGTTGAGGAACTTGGCCTTGTGCAGATGCAGAAGTTCTTGCAAGTTACTGCGCCCTACAGGGCGTCTTGGCATGTTCTGTGAAGGGATGACAAGGGATGACGAACTAAGACGCTCTATTGCTACTATTACTATTGTTCACGAAAGCTACATAGCTCATCCTGCTCTTGCTAGTTGGAGTTGCCTTTGCTTTAGCAAGAATTGCCACCGGAGGGTCTGGGACCCAAGACTTGAACAGTTTGGACTTTGACTCCTCTCCGTTGGTGAGAATTTGCTCACACAGACACACACCAACGTACCACCTGCAAAGCATTTAACACCACCATGTTACCTCAAAACCCACCACGAAACCTTCACCGGTTCATTCACTCCTGCCATGGTGCAAGCATGCCATTATACACATCGCACCATGCTGCACCAGAGGCGGCATGATATCAAGATATGCGCCAGTTCACTCACTGACAGCGGAAGCGTCCACTTTCGGTAGCACCATTTCAATGCCAGCAAGAGCTATCACCTTTCACCTCTGGTACATTGATCTTGCATACTGCTCTTCACCAGCAGTGCGAGTGCCCCACTTCACCAGTGGCAAACGCACCACTTCCTGCACAATAAGCACTCGCTGCTAGACCACTTGGTTTGGTAAGGCCCTACCACTTTAATGTTTGAACATTTCCGCTTGCTGCTACTTCCTTAGTCGGGGACGCTAGTGGTAACTCAGGAACCCTGTTGTGGGGTGACCGACACCCTGGTGAGCTTCGTGTATGCTAGTTTGGGACATGAGAGTGGAATGACTTATGACACATGACTTGAATTTCACAATTGACAACATTTACACCCCCAATATCCCCAAAGGATGTTAGCATGTTGGTGTGTCGATTGCTTTTTTTGTTTTGCGTTCGCGGGGTGTTTGTCATTTCCAGCTTTCAGCTAGCTTCGGCCCGGCCTCAAATTTGGCCTCAAGTTTGTTTGACATCGGCCTGCTTGTAAGGTCAGGCAGACCATGCGAAAGCAGCAAGCAACAGGCAAACATGCTAGCTATCGGAATTCGCCAGAGGAACGAGCGTTGGTGATTTTGAGTGTTACTTTGCCTCCTGACTGCTGGAGAGTGTCCGGTATGAGAATTTCTGGCAAGTGGACAGATCAAGGTTGGGGCAACACCGACATTAACAAAGTGGAGCTTCGAGCCACTACCGCACGTGCTGGGCTGGTGCATGTGCAACTTCATTCAGTTGATTGGAAGTCAGACGATGACAGAATCGAAGTGAATTTCGGAGGAGAAACAGGAACACAAGGCTTCGACGAGGAAGGCCGGAAGACTTTAGATCGTGAGGAAGCCGAATCTCTTTTAGAAGTTCTGACAGGCAATGATTTGATCCAAGTTACCATGGGTTGCGTCGGTTGGAGCGGACATGAAGGGCATGCAGAAGATACTTGCTTGGACATTGACTATTTCACGCATACGTTTTGACAGTGGATGTGCTTGGAAGAACCTAAACAAAGGGAAGAACAATCTTGGCAAGGGATGAAGCAAACACACCACGAATAGCGAGGGGGAAATTGGTGTTGATTCACTGATAGACAGGCCCCTTGAACATTATTTTCAAATATGTTCATTGTTCCCAGGGCCATGTTGCACACCACTGTCCACAAGGATTCGAACGACGCAGAAACATGTTAATATAATTTGTTCTGAGCCCTGAGAGCGCTCAAACAAATGTCGACAATTTCCGAGATTTTCCAATTTTCTTTGAAAGAAAATTCCTCGGAAAAAATTACCTTTTAAAGATCTACGGTTCAAAATAACTTATCTATATAAAAATGATATCATTAATTATTTAGGCTTTAAGCATCATATTACTCATAATATTATGATAAGGCCTACCAACAGGGGCGCGTGCGCAATTCAGCCAAGCCAAAAGTCCCAAACATCTGCCAAAATTTTGGGATTTTTAGCGAAGACATTTTTGCTTTTGGTGGCTTCATATTTGGTGCTCGGTTTTAGCGTCAGCGGAAAGTTTTTTTTTTTGGAAGTTTTGAATTTGTGACTTCCAAAAACAGTTGATTATTTTGTGATTATTTTCTCGGCGCCCATTTTGAAAAAGTTGGATTATTTTTGGATGCTTGTTCGACTCCCCCCAGGTCGATGGAAACATGAGTGTGTATAGCTGGTGATTTTGAGGTATGGCGCAACACTGCAGAGACTCATGCGCAGGTCAATCCACAACAGATTCTACCAAGCAGTTACAACCATACACGATCATGTATTGATATCCAATGTCCACTCAGGTATTCGTATCTAATGTCCAATCCACAATTAAAATTTCAGTTTATTGTAATCGATAAGATCTGGTTCACCCGATTATTGCTTTTTAAACCAGGTTTGCTGTCCAGTTTTGAGCTTGGGTGGTGCCAGTAGCTGTTTCACCTCAGGTCAGAGTCCAATATTGCTCATATGTTTAGTTTACTCACATGTTTGCCCAAGTGTGCCTGTAGTTGTAGCCTTCTTGTGATGTCATGCACAAACTTGCGCTGAGTTGTCTTTGTCCAAGAGACCAAGTTTTTTCTGTCCACTGCCCACCACCTGGCAACCTGGCTGGGGCATGCTGGGGCCGATCGCTATGTGCAGAGAGCTCGCCAGGGGGGGGAAGGCCGGGAGCGATTGTATTCCTGCCTGCTGGAAGAGCTCTGGTAAGAACGGCTGTGAAGCAGTCCATATGGCCTCGACACCTTTGATGCTTGGGCTAAAGCCCCGAAAAGCCAATATGATCCGATATTTGCATGTTATTCGAGATACGAGATTCAAGGTTCGAGATCCAAGATTCGGGATTTGAGATCCAAGATCCGAGCCTCGGAAGTGGAGATCCGAGTTCGTAGATTCGAGGCGCGAGATCTAAGATCCGAGTTCCGAGATTCCGAGACCTGAGATGCGAGATCCGAGATTGGAGTTCCGAGATACGAAATCCTAGATTCGAGGTGCGAGATTCTAACTTCGAGATCCGAGATTCGAGGTTCCAGATTCACGCCAGATCCGAGATTTGAGATGCGAGATCCGAGATCTGAGCTTCGAGATCCGAGATTCGAGAGACAAGATTCGGAATTATACCCGTCCCGTAATCCACACTAAAATCAAGGACCCCAACCCACCTAAATAGTACAAAATGTTTTCCGATGTTTTCCGAAAAATGGGTACGCCCGGGACTTCATAACAGCCATGAGGGTTTATCCGGAATTTCCAAAAAAATGCTTGGTCCAGGACTTCAGTAAAGCTAGATAAATCATGATGTGACTGACTTGAAAGACTACATGTGAGGTCAGACGCAGGATTCTATAAAAGGATGTTGTTTTTTAACTTGGAGGTCTCTGAGGGTCAAGCTCAGGATTATATTATGTTTTGTGTTTCGCGGTCGTTCCGAAGACTCCGCGGTCGTTCCTTGTTAGGCTGCAGCATGCCACAGACACCAGAGTGTTTCAATTCTAAAAAATCTATTTATAAATGGCTAATACGCCACACAAACGAGTGTTTCAATTCACCAAAATCTATTTATAGATGACTTGAGACGCCACACAAACTCTGCAAGTCTATTCCCTTGATGGAAGTACACCAGGCATAACCGATTAGCGCATAAAAACTCGACAATATCCTCAGTTCGCCTGTCTCAGTGTGAGAGATTCGTCCAGTACAGACGGTTCACTGTTCACCAACACACGATCGAAAGATCCTGCAAAGGAAAAAAGCACAGCTCTTTTTGCGCATAAATTCATGAGCCAGGGTCAATGACAGCATTTCAGTATGAATCATAATTTTGTCTTATTCACATGTCCCGACCTCCGTCTCAGGACTTTAGAAAGAGGTTGGTCCTAGGAAATTATTAGGCAAAAAAAAACAATCAATTTTTTTGCATCGCACCTGGGGCCACTAAAAAATAAGGAAATGACCTCAGTCCCGAAGGATTCTATAAATAAAAGTCCTGAGTTAGACCTTTGGGCATTATTCAACGGGTATGGAATTTGAGATCCGAGATCCGAGCCTAGAGAGTCGAGATCCGAATTCCTAGATTGGAGATGCGAGATTCGAGATTCGCGATCCGAGATTCGGGGTTTGAAATACGAACGTTGAGGTTCGAGACGCGAAAACCGAGATTTACGATTTACGTGGAAAGATGAATTTATGGATGATTTTGACTATAGAATTAACGCAGGAAATCCTAATTTTTTTCTTGATATTTATAATAAGGACTAAACATATAGAATAATATATAAATATATCATTGGATATTTATAGAATAATATATAAATATATCATTGGATATTTAATGAAATATATATTGATTAAATATTGTATTTATATTATAATATTTATTTTATAGAAAATAATGAATTGAAATTATTATATCATTATTATATAATATATAATATTATATTTTTTATATTTATTTATATAAATATAAATATATAACATTCTTATTTTATGATTATATTATATATTTTTTGAAAAAATAATTGATTAAATAGATTAATATTTATTTATTTATTTATTTAATTGTTTTTTAAAATTAAGACTATTAATATATTTAGGAATATATAGTTTGTAATACAATTTATGGATGAATTAATTAAAGGAAATTTAGGACAATTATTTTTATATTATAAATATTAAAAAATATTGTAATCTTTTTAAATATTAAAATATTGAAAGAAGAATACTTATTATTAATATTATATATTATTATTAATATTATTACGATTATTAAGCGCCATTTTAGTGCAAGAGTAGCGTGCGATTTCGGACTCGCGGGGCGGCGCTATGTTTCGTTTGATTTTATGTTGATTTTTGATCCCTGCCCTATATTGTCATTTTGGCCTTCGATTGCGCTATTGCTTGTTCTCCTGAATAGTCCGGTCCCAAGTCCGGAGAATCTTCTTGTTTTCTCGAATTTTGTTTTCGTTCCACGAGGATTCGGCGCGAGGGTGACCCATTTTGCCTCAGGAATGGGTGGGACCAGCTCTGAACGAGATCTATCAGGCACTCCTGCAAAATGCCATGAGGCATGGGCATCGTCGGGCCTCGGCCATGTTGAGTCACGCTCACGTTGCAATAGATTGAAGCGCTTATCCACCCGAGCTTGTGCTAGGGCCTTGAGGGAAGGACACGTTACTTTCAAGGGTAAGCAGACTTACCCCCATCAAATCCCTTTTCGCATTAAACAACATATATTTGCCAACGCACCCAAACCATGTCGGATTGCACCTACCCATGCATAGCGCACTCCTGAACCGGGACAATTAGGCATATTTCAGTGGAATACATCTAGGTCGATTGAATACCATTCTTGGTTACAATGGTGTGACAATAGTCCGCACGACATCATTGCTGTTCAGGAATCCGGATGGTCCATGAATAATGAGTGGAGCTCCAAGCACTGGCACATAATGCACTCAACAGATCGATTCGCTTCCATCTTGTTTATGGTGCGCACAGCCCTTGTTAGACAGGATCAGATCTCGATTGCCCATCATGCACGTGGCCGCCTGCTTCAGGTACGCTTGAACCTCCTGAGACCACATGACTTTGTGATTGTATATCAACAGGCCTGGTCCATGCAGCACGGCACACGTCAGATCCTTTCGAAAAGACAACACATATGGACCCTTATGCAGCACTGTCTGGAACGCCTGCCTCAAAGACATCAGGTAGTGATTTGTGGTGAATTTAACAATCCCATTAATCATATACCCTATAAGGTGCACACAACAGATCCGAAGTATACCCAAGTTGCACAGAAAGATAAGCCCACCTTATCTAACATGATCCAATAATTCGATCTCGTTGCACTCCACTGTCGTGACCGATTTCAATCCACTTTCAAGCACGGCACTCACACCAATAGGATTGATTTTGCATGATGCGCAAACCACAGATTAGTTGGCCTCTACTAGAACCCCAACTTCTCGACGACTTTGCCTTCAATTTTGGCCTTCTTGGCCTACATCATCATCCATTGACCTGGACCATTCCCAAATGGCACCCAGGACCTAGACCTAAGCCGACTGTTCTATTCGACCGCCATCGCATTCGACAGGACATGCAGCAGAACACTCAACGCTGGCAAGGATTTTGCCGAGAGGCCAGACAGATTATGCATTCGACCACTGCCCATGATCCGTCCCTGTTCCATAAACTTGAGACCTCATTGACTGACCTTTGCACAACGTGGTTTCCCAAAACAAACTCCACACCAGTTGAATGCAACCCCCTGGCATCCATCACTGCCCGCATGTGGCAGGCCCGGAAACTGGTTCGAGCACTGACTGATCGGTCGACCGCTTCCCTTTTCACGGCCTGGAAGCACCTTGCTTTGTTTCGAAGATATCATAAGCAGGTTCGACATTTTAGCCGCCAGAATAAAAGGCAGAAGCTAGAAGACTTCCTCAAGGAAGGCGCTGACCTGGCCATACGCCATCAGACATATAATTGGTACCGCAAGGTCCGCAAGTTGTGTCCCAAGCAACGTCCTCAGAAGATCCAGATGTATGATGATCATGGACAACCCCTCAATCCACACATGGAGCTACAACGTATTGAACAATTCTTTGGTCAGCTTTTTTATGATGCCTCCTTTCATTACCCTGGTAATGTTGCCCTCCAAACCCTTCCTTTCACCCAGGAAGATGTCTTGCAGGGTCTACAGGACTTGCCAGCAATGAAAGCCCTGGCTCCTCCCTGCATGTCCGCCCTCATTTGGCGCCATCTTGCGCCGGAGCTAGCGGGTCCGATCTATGCTGCCATTGAACACTATT